GATTGAATTCTCAGTTTGTGAAGTTACAGGAAGAGAACGAGAGAGAGAGAGAGAGAAAGACTGGGCTAGAGGGAGAGACTATAAGAGAGAGAAATAGAGACACAGGGAGAATGACATAGAGAAAGCGAGAGAGAGAGAGAGGGACTAGGAAGAATGGCAAAACTCACTGAGAGAGCGCGCGAGAGAGAGAGAGATTGAGAAATGCTGTGAGAGAGAGAGAGAGAGAGAGATTGAGAAATGCTGTGAGAGAGTGAGAGAGACTTGAGCATAATGGAAGAAAGAGAAAGAGAGAATGAGAGAGAGAGAGAAATACTAAGATAGACAAAGAGACTAAAAAGTGACTCAGTGAAAGAGACAGGGAGAATGACATAGAGAAAGAGAGAAAGAGAGAGACTAGGAAGAATGGCGAAACTCACTGAGCGAGCCAGAGAGAGAAAGAGAGAGATTGAGAAATTCTGTGAGAGAGTGAGAGAGACTTGAGCATAATGGAATAAAAAGAAAGAGAGAGACAGAAATGTGACTCAGTGAAAGAGAAAGAGACAGGGATAATGACATAGAGAAAGAGAGAGAGAGAGAGAGAGAGAGAGAGAGAGAGAGAGGCTGGGAAGAATGGAGAGCCTCACTGTAAGTAAATATAAAAGAAAATATATGAAGAAAACAAAAAACCAATAAAACTTTAAATATATGAGTAAAAAATGAAATACAAAATTATACAAACCAAATTTATATTTTATATAGTTTATTTAGAATATATGAAATAGAAAAAAAAAACTTTATAGTTAAATGTAAATATGGATATAAATAATAATAATATATAGCATATATGTATATGGTATATAAGTCTAGATTTGTAGCTCAGTTACCTTTTACTATATGGCTAAGATATATGTATGTATGTATGTAGGTAAAAGCTTATTATAATAGCCTATTAAAATATATATGTATATATATATTTATAGATATGCATACATATATACTATAAAAAGTCTAGATTTCTAATTTGAGATCATCTATATAGAATCTAGCCCTATTGAAATACAAGCAAATCAGCTGCTACAATTCTACAACTATTTAGGATATTGCTCTAAGCAGAAGTCTTTCTCTCAGTGTACAAACGAAGACGACGACGACGACGACGACGTTGTATGTTATGATGACATAGCCATAGTCTGCTGTTGCTGCTGCTGCTGCTGCTGTTGCTGCGCAGGCGCGCAGGCGCTCAACTTCAATTTCAACTTCAACTTCAGCCTCAGCTGCGGTGTCGCGTCGCGACGCGTCGCTTGGCTTCGCTGTTTGCGTTTGCGTATCTTTGAGATACATTCGCTGCTTGCTGCGTGCTGCTGCCGCTTGCTGTGGCGCGCACTTCTCGTTTGTCTCTTCTACTTTGTCTTTGCCCATGTGTGTGTGTGTGTCTGTTTTTTGGCTATTTACTGCTGTTCCTGCGCGCACACACACACACACACACAGAGAGAGAGAGGTAGAAAGAGAGAGAGAGAGAGTGCGCGCGAGGCAGCTGGCAACATGTGTGCGTGTTATGTTGTTGCTGGCGTTGTCTTTGGTTTTCATTTCTGTTGTTGTTGTTGTTGTTTTTTGGTCTTTCTTCGTCTTTAGTATTTGCCAGATACAGATACAAAGATACTTTGCTTATGATTTGTTGCTGAGGCACTTAGATGTCGCCATAATGACAGTTAACACAAAACTACCAATAGATACATATATCATACAAAGAGAAAGAAGAGAGGGAGAGCGAGAGAGAGAGAGAGAGAGAGAGAGAGAGAGAGATAGAGATATTTAGAGCAAGATCTAGAGCCTAGTCAAGCAGCTCAAGCTTTTGCAGCGCATTTATCCTGCCCAAATTTGTAGTCCACATGCACACACATACATGTGCATATATGCCTCTATATATGTGTGTATATACTTGTCTCTCTCTTTCGCTCTCTTTCTCTTCGGACACAATCAACGGCGCATCGCTAAAAATTCGCCTTGCCTCAATTTGCCTTTGCGTCTCTCCACTTTCGAGACTCGAGAGAAATACAAAAAAAAAAAAAAAAAATAATATTTAAACACACGCACGTAATTTCTTTGGAACTAGCAACAACAACAACAACAAGAGAAACTGAATAAGCAGCAAATGTAGAGAACAACACAATAAATATAAAAATAAAATTCAACAAAAATAATTAACAAAATTAACAAGAAGTCAAAAAAACAAAAAAAAAACCCTGAGCGACATTTAAATGCCCTTATCACATGGTTCATATATGTATATATATATTTGTGTGTGTGTATATGTACATTATGTAAAACTGTATATTGCTGACATTTCTCATATATGGCCAGAGAGTTTGGCTCTTGAAGATCTGAAATCTTTAGCTAAATAGTTCACTTAGCATTACGAGCAAAGCATATGAAGGGAAATTCATATAAAGCTAAAGATTTGATTCGATTTGAGCTCAGTTATATACATAAACTATATAGAGTTTCTAATGTATACAGTGTCTGCATAATGTACATAGACTATATTGACCAACTGTATATAAAGCTTTGGTTCATAAACTTGTGAAAATTCATCTCGAAATTTTGATTCAATGTAAGCTCAAAGACCTTTATATGTTTGTATCTAATATTCCTCCAGATAAACTCAGCTATATGAATAAACATTTCAGATATAATAAGTTAATATATAACCATGATTTATTAACTTTTCTTTCTCTAGCTATTTTCTCTCTCTCTCTCTCTCTCTCTCTCTTCTTCTTCTTCTCTTTATATACGCATATATCCCATAATCCTTTTTCTTACTACTTAACTATATATCCTGTGTATTACTCGAATACATTAAGTAAAATATAATAATATAAAAATATAATAATTTATTGAATAACTGAAAGAAAAAGTAATACGAAAATAATTTAAATATATAAAATTATAGAAAAAAAAAATGTTTCTCTTCTATGGTTTTAGTTTTAGTGAAATACACTATACATATAAATATATTCCACTTTCAACTGCTAAGAGTCTTGCTCCAGTTCACCTAGGATCCAATGGTAATCCAATAAAATAAAAACATATTCAACATAACTGAAAAAAATAGTAATAAGAAAATAAATACTAATAATTCATTTCAGACATAAAAAAATAAAAAATTATAATTTTTTTTTTTTGGCTTGAAACATTTTCAATAATTTATTTTGCATTTGTTTTAAGATCTTGGTACGGAAAGCGTTTTTTCTGCTTCGACTCTTCGCATTCCTCTCTATTATCTTTTCGTTTTCTTCTTTGTTATTCTTCTCCATCTTCTCTCACTTTAATATATGTATATGTATATGCATTTAGTGGCTAAATATATATATATATAGTTAAACAAATTTGTTGCGCTAATTACACACAAAAAAAAAGTTTAATAATAAAAAAAAATAGAAACTAATTATGCATTATATATGTAGGTATATATATATATATATATTTATGTACATATATATATTTATGTGTGTGTGTGTGTGTGTGTGTGTGTAAGGAAAAAGTGGGAAACATAAAGCTAATGGCAAATTATTACAATTTTATATTTTTGAGTATTATATTAAGGCAAATTATAAATTTAAAATAAAAAATAAAATAAAAAATTGAATTTTGTTTTCTTTTTATTTTTTGTGGGTCTTTTCTTTCATGTCTTTATTTTGGGACTTACAAAGCAAATGCATAAATTAAAAATTAATAATAATAAATATATGAAATACACATATATACATGTATATATGTATATATATATATATAGGCATTAACTTGGTTTAATTATAGGTTTTATCCCTGATATTTGCGTTTTGCTTTTGTCTTTGTGTTTGGCGTTTCGTAGTTTGAAAGAAATATGTATATATAGATATATATATACATTTATATATATATAGATATATTTATACATATCAATTGGTATTACATATTTATATATATACATATATATGTATGGCATATGTTTACGGTTTACAGGCTGACAGAAAATAAACAACAATTGCATTTAAATTAGTTTAATCAAAAAAAATAATAATATAAACAATGTACTATAGATCCAGCAGATCCTCTAGTATCTATAAGTATATATATATACTATATATATAAATATACATATATATATATATATATATAGCATATATATAGCTTGCCCTGATTTCTGTTTGTTTTCTTGCATTCTTTAAGCGTTTCTTCTTTTCATTCTTTCTTTTGTTTTGTTTCTTTGAGGTATGCACGGCCTTAAAACATTAAGTTTACATATAACAAAATAAAAATACAAATAATACGTATAATAATTGGAAATACAAATTACACAAAAAAAGAACTTCTACGACAATTAATTAATTCATAATTAATAATAATAATACAATTTAACATAGTTTTTTTTTGTTTTTCAATTAAATTAAATTTGCTGCTACAACAATTAGGAATTTTGAATACAAAAAAAAAAAAAAAAATTATTGTATATATATATATTTATATATATATGTGGGTATGTATAGCATATTTTATAGTTATAGCTTTTGTTTCTTTTCTTTTCATATGGCAAAGTTTTGTTTTAGGTTTTTTTTTTATAACAGCTGTGCTGAGTGGGCGTGTCTTCAAATGCCGAAGGCTTTCTTTAATCAACTTTTTAAAATTGGGTTTGATATTAAGTAAAAAAAAATTAAATACAAAAATGTTTTTTTTTTTTTTGTGCGTGTGTGTGTGTGCTTTTGGAACAACAATTTATTGCTGGAACGCGCAATAAAAATTTGTTAGCAAAAAAACTTGTTTGTTTTTTTTTTTATATATATATTTAAAATAATGGAATTTAAAAACAAGTGAATAAAAGGCTAAATATATATAAATGTATATATTTTTTTTTAATTTTAGCCTTTTTGTTAACTTTTTTTTTAAAGCGTTTTGCATTTGAAGACCCGCCATCCCCTGAGTAACCCCTCCCCAAAAGCCCCCAATCCCCCAAGCCCGCCCTGCGCCCTCTATATATATACACATATACGTATTCTGTTAGAAATATGTATATATATATATACATATATCCCTCCCGTTTCAATACATATCAATGTCCTTTTCAATGATGTGAAATTCCTCCGCGAACTCTTCCTCGTACTCATTCTTAATATCAACAAATTCGTTTTTAATCAAATGATGCTCGCCGCTCAGCAACAGTTGCTGCTGCTGCTGCTGTTGCTGTTGCTGCTGCTGATGCTGCTGTTCGGCATCATTATCGTCTTCATCATCGTCTAGCAAACTATCATCGTCAGCAGCAACATCGTCAGCTGCCGTCCTAGCAACTGTTGCTGCTGCTGCTGCCGTTGCTGCCGCTGCTGCTTTGGCTGTTGCAGCAGCAGCAGCAGCAACAGCTGCCGCTGCCTTTTTGCCAACAACCCGTGGACGATTGTGCGTCTCGAGATGCTTGCGCAGATGATCCTTGCGACAGAAGCCCTTCTCACAGATATCGCACATGTGCTGCTTGAGCCCCGTGTGGATGGCCTCCACGTGTCGCCGCAAATCGGTCTTGTGATGGAATTGCTTTGGACAGAGCTCGCACTTGTGCGGCTTATCTTGGGTGCGATGGCGGCCCAGATGCGTGGTGTACACATCCTCGCTTTGGAAGCGCTTGCCGCACTTCTGGCACCGATATGGATACTCACCGGAATGGAAGCTCTTGTTGTGCTGCGTGAGATAACAGTTCTTGGTGAACTCCTTGTCGCACTCCAAGCACTTGATGCGGCCCGATGGCAATGTGGTCGAGTGTGGCGATGTTGAGCCGATGCTGCTGTTGCGCCGTCGCTTGCTGGGCGGACCAGCAACAGTTGTTGTTCCCGCTCCAGCTGTTGCTGTTGTTATTGTTGTTGTTGAGGAAAGTGCAACGGCAGCGCGTCGCTTTTTAGGCAGCACAGCAACAGTTTGTTGCAGCTGCAGCTGATCGAGTTGCTGTTGCTGCTGCTGCTGCTGCTGTTGTTGTTCGAGTTGCTGCTGCTCAATATGTTGCTGCTGCTGCTGCTGCTGCTGCTCGAGTTGCTGCAACTGATATTGCTCGTAGTCGTGCTGTTGCTGCTGTGCTATGAGCGATGCCATATCAAGCTCGAGAGCTGGCGTTGCACGCGAGCTGCTCACTGTGGGCGAATACGGAGTGGGCGTGGCCAGCAGCGTTAAAGTTGTATGTTGCTGCTGCTGTTGTTGTTGCTGCTGCTGCTGCTGCTGTTGCGCCTCCTGCTGTGCCTGCAGTGCATTCGTTAGCGTATGCACCGGCGGCAAGTCCCCCTCCTGCGGCGAGCGCTGCGCAGCCACCGAATAGGGCGACAGTGGTGCATAGGGCGCAAACAGCGAGGCAGCCGGCATCAGCTGCAATATCTGGTGGCCGTCGCTGGTCGTGTAGGTGTCGTAGTGGCCCGGCTCGTTACCAATAATAGTGTGATAGCTCATTGTGTGCTCCAGCACCGGCGGCAGCTGCTGATAGCATGGCAGGATGTTGTTGCTGCTGTTGCTGCTGCTGGAGATGTTGCTGTTGCTGTTGTTGGAGATGTTGCTGCTGCTGCTGATGATGTTGCTGCTGCTGGTGATGATGTGCGGCGGTGGTGATGTTGCCGCCGCCGCCGCTGCTGCTGCTGCTGCTGCCTCCCCCACCTGGGTTGCTGTTGCTGCTGAGCTGCTGATGTGGTTGCTGCTGCTGCTGCTGTGACTGTGGCTGCTGCTGTTGGGCGTATGGCTGCTGGCCGTACTGCTGTTGCTGCTGCTGCTGTTGCTGTCCACCAGCAACAGTTGTTGCGGCTGCAGCGGCTGCGGCAGCGGCGACAGCGGCTGTGGTGCCAGGTAGTGCTGCTGCTGCTGCTGCTGCTGCATAGTGGTGCATTCCATGTCCATATTGATGTGCGTGTGGGTGGTGGGCGTGTGGATGGCCATGGGCGTGTGGATGGGCGTGTGGGTGTGCATGGGGATGGGCGTGTGGATGGGCGTGGTGGTAATAGTGACCGGCAGCAACGGCTGCTGCGGCGTGCTGATGCTGCTGCACTGCAGCATATTGCTGTGCTGCTGTTGCATATCCAAAGCCAGCATGTTGTAGTCCATTGTTATAGGCGGCAGCAGCGCTGCCATAGGCGGCGGCGGCAGCAGCGGCTGGGTGCGCGAGAAATCCATTGCCTGCAACAGTTGGTGGTGGTGCGATTGGTGTTGCTGCTCCTGTTCCAGTTGCTGCTGCTGCTGCAGCGGCTGCAGCTGCTGCTGCTGCTGCGGCAGCTGTTGCAGTTGTTGGTGGTGGTGGTAAATAATAGGCGGCGAGTTGCTGTTGTTGCTGCTGCTGCTGCTGCTGTTGTTGCTGTTGTTGCTGCTGCTGCTGCTGCTGTTGATGGTGGTGCTGGTGGTGGATATGGTGGTGCTGCTGTTGCTGTTGCTGCTGTGATAGGGCCGCGACAACAGATAGCTGACCTGCTCCTGCTGCTCCAGTGGGTGATGTTGCAGCAAGACGTGTTGCTGCTGCTGCTGCTGCTGTTGGTGCTCCTCCAACTGCTGCTGCTGCTGCTGCTCCTCCTCCTGCTCCTGTTCCATGACCATTGCTGAGTTGCTGCTGTCCTCCATTTGCTCGACTTTTATAGTTGTGGCTATTGTTGTTGTTGTGTTGTTGTTGATTGTTGTTATTTTGTTGTTGTTGTTGTTGTTCAGCAGGCCCCTCATTTGGGAGGACGGCATTTGTGTGTTGTTGTTGTTGTTGTTGATTGGGGCGGAGGGACCTGCTAGCCCGTTTGGGTGACCGTTCAAAACGGAATTGTTGTTGTTGCTGCTGCTGCTGTTGTTGCTGCTGCTGCTGTTGTTGTTGTTGTTGTTGCTATTAGCATGCTGTGGTGAAGCGTTTGTCGTCGATTGCACTTGTTGCTGCTGCTGCTGCTGCTGGATATTGTAATGGCCATGATAGTGGGCGTGGCCATTGGCATAACCATTGCTGGCAATCAATTGTTGCTGCTGCTGCTGCTGCTGAGCGGTGGGCGACGGCGAGGCCGAATACTGCGACATGGCGGCGCCCACCTGCACGCCCGTCGCCCCACAAACACCGCCGCCACCTCCTCCATAGTCCGGCGGACTTCTGGGCGGCTCCGCTGCTGGCGGTTCCTGTGTGGCTGCTGCTGCTGCTGCTGCCGCCGCCGCTGCCGCTGCTGCTGCGGCCGCTGCTGCCGCATTGCCGCGTCGACTGGTCTTTGTAACGGGATCACGTGCAGGATGATGATGCGCTGATATGGGCAACGTTGCCGGATCTGGCTGACCGCTCGATTTAACCGCATTCTTGTGCAGCGTCGTATTGTAGTGGCGCTTCAGGTGGCCCGAGCTGGTGAACCACTTGTTACACGCGGTGCAATTGTAGGTCTTCGGGCGACGCGCCTCGTTCGACTTCCAGGTGGCCGCCTTGGCCGTGAGGCTGTTCGCCGGCAGCACCGAACTGGAGCTGGGCGGCTCGAAGCCACGGTATGCGGTGCCAGCGTTGCCACCCACGGCGTTGCCATCCGTTGTTGTGGTGCTCGGAAACTCGGCCGGACTGGTGGTCACCTCGGCTGCCGTCGGATCGAACGACTTGTCCACATAATGCTGCGAGTCGGCATATTCGGATTTGATCAATGCATACTCCTGCTTCACCACCGTCGATGGGTGATACGGCGACTGCTTGGGCGAGCCGTAGTAGTGCGGCGATTTTTCTAGCAGCGGCTGCATATAGGCGGGCAGACCCTCGGTGGGCGTGGCCTGTTGCTCCCAACTGTGGAGTGCACGTTGCTGCATCGATTGCATCGAATGCAATGGATCGGGCAATGCCAATGGCAGGCCGGCAACCACAGCGTCGTGTTGATGGAGCTGCTGATGCTGCTGTTGCGGATGTTGTTGTTGCTGCTGTTGGAGGTGGTGGTGATGATGGTGGTGCTGTTGTTGCTGCTGCTGCTGCTGTTGCTGTTGCAGCAATTGCTGGTGATAGACCATCTTCTGTGAGTCCAAGTCGAGCAGCTCACCGCTGGCTGCCGCCGCTGCTGCTGCTGCTGCGGCCACCGCTGTTGGCGTCGGCATCGGCATCTCCTCCTTGATGTAGGGCGAGCTGGCATACCCGCTGCTTCCGTATGGCGATTCTCCGTGCACATTGGCAATGTGTTCCTGCAATTCCGATTCGTTAGTGTTCAAGATGCCGCACTTTTTGCACTGCAACTTGCAGCCGCCTCCTGGCGAACTGGGCGTGGCACTGCTCAGCTGCAGATGCGATGAGGTGGAGGTGGGACTGCTGCTGCTGACGACGCGCGGACTCATCGCGGCAACAGATGCTGCTGTTGTCGTCACTGCGGCCGCCGGTGTTGCTGTGGCATCGTCGACGGCAGCAACAGTTGCTGCCGCCACAGCCGTTGGCAGCACCGACGTCGGCTGCTGCAAATACGGATGATAGCGCACCGCCGAGGCTTTACTGTAATCCACATAGGCGCCGCCGTAGTCAGCCGCGCTCTGCTGTTGCTGCTGCTGCTGTTGCTGATAGAATTGCTCGTAACTGTTGATATAGCTGCTGGCCGCGTAGCTCTGCTGCTGTTGCTGTTGCTGCTGCATATCGCTGGCGTAGAGGCCGCCGTAGAGCTGCTGCTGTGGTGGTTGCTGTTGCTGTTGCGCTGCTGCTGCGTACATGTGATGCGTTGCATATGGCTGATGCGTTATGCCCGACGCCTGCTGCTGCTGTTGTTGTTGTTGCTGTTGCTGCTGCTGCTGCGCGTCCACTGACATCAGCGATTGTTGCTGTGTTGTTGGCTGCGGCGTGCCTGGCTGATTATCGCTGGAGTCCGCGGCGGCGCTGATTGTTGCATTCGCATTCGGCGTTGCTGGCGCACTGCCCCCAGCAACAGTTGCTGCCGATGCAGTTGTTGTTGCTGTTGCTGCGGCCGCTGCTGCAGTTGTTGCTGCTGCTGCAGCTGCAGTTGCTGCTGTGCCACCTCCGCCGCCGCTATCAGTTGGGCCGCTACTGCTGCTGCTGCTGCTAGCAGCGAGCGCCTCTGCCGCGTGCAGTGGCGGCATTTCACTTTTTATGCTCGCCATTAAACGTCGGCGTTGGCGTTTGTGTCGGCGTTGGCGTCGCGCTGCTGCTCATGTGGCTTGCTTCTTAATTGTTGCTGTTGTTCTAGTTGCTGCTTCGACAGCTGCTTAAGTTGTTTTTTTTTTTTTTGTTTAAATTTATTGTTGTTGCTGTTGTTTTTATATTTCGTTGGCTGCTTTGCCGTTCGTTTTGGTTTTGTTTTTTGTATTTGTATTTGTATTTGTACTGCAAAAATAAATTTTAAATTTTAATTTACAAATTTTTACAAAACACACACACATATGTATATATAGACTAGTCACATGCACATGCACTACTTGAGTTCTCAGATAACGGTGCTGGCTGGTAGAGCACAGCAATGTGCAAAAGAGAATGTAAGAGCCTTAAAAAAAAACTATCACTTAACATCAGCAACGGCAGAAGAGCTCTACGCAGCCGCAGCTTCTGTTACTTTGCTTTGCACTGTTCATCAAGAAAAAAGTAGCAAAAAAAAAAAAAAAACAAAAAAAAAACCAACAAATACAAGCATGCAAAATGTGCGATTCTCTTTTAACATTTGCATTTGCTTTAGCAGCTGTTAAAACGGATCTTAACAGTGTGCTCTCTTCAGGCATGCAGCGGCGACTGCGTTTACTCTGTTGCTGCTGCTGTTGTTGTAGCTTTCACATTTCTTTATGTTCATAGTGTTCGTATAGTTTTGCATTCACACACACATATACACTTGTAAAAAAAAATGGCAGTATGTATATGTATATATATTTAGAGATATATACAGCTACATAACAATTATGAATTTGATTGGCAAAGACGATGATGATGATGGACTGTTGGTCATCATAATCGCCATCTTCGCCGCTGATATTGTTGGTCTTGCTATTATTATTGTTGTTGCTCTTGTCGTTGTTGCTGTTGTTGGGTTTGCTTACTTATCTGCGCCTTCGCTTTGTGCAGTTTTTGTGTTTAGCGGCTTGCTGCTCTCTCTCTCTCTCTTCTCCTTTTCTTCTTCTGCTTCACCGAAACACAAAACAACTGAAGAATAATAACATAAAAAAAAGACCGAAACGAAGAACTGGAAGGTTTGCTGGGATGTTGATTTTTTTTTCGTACTTTTTCTCTTTACTTTTTGAATTTAGAATTTTGATTTTGCGAGCGCGAAAGAGTTTCGGTTCGCTTTCGTCTACTGTTCGCCGGTTAGTTCTTTCTTTGATCGTTGCCTCTTAGCATTTGGTTTTTCGTTTTCATTCTTGTAGTTACATTACTTTTTGTTCACTCCACGATCACTTGAGAATTTCCGTAAGATTTGTTTTTTTTTTTTGCTTTTTAACTGCAGTTGAACAGAAAAAAAATGTTTACGAACACAATGGAAAAACAATACAAAACGCGTCAATTATTTGATTAAATTTTTCTCAGTGTTTTTCTTTCTTTTTTCACGTTTTTCTTTAAGTCCGAAATAGTTTTTTTTTGCCGAAAAGTGTTGCCAAAAATTTGTTGTTGATTTTTGCCGTATGTTATATTTTTTAATATTTATTTTACATGTACAAAGAAAATGAAACAAAAAAGGGCGCTAAAAGCTAAAATAGCCGCTCCACTCCGTTCACACGCTTCGTCGCTTATTCGCTCGTGTCCTTCTTTCTGCTACGGCGTTCCAAATACAAATGACGGAACGGAATTGTGTTTCCAAATACAAATGACCGACGTGCATGCGGCATTCTGGCAGCGGCAGCGGCAGCAGCAGCAGCAGCAGCAGCAACAGCAGCAGCCGCAGCCGCAGCAGCAGTAAATGCTTACGCACACACGCACACATATGCGCACATAACAGAAGTAGCAGCAGCCGCAGCGGCAGCGCAGTCGTTGCTGGACTGGCGTGCGTGTGCGCTAGTGTGTGTGTGTGTGTCTGTGAGTGTGCGTGCGCTATGTACAGCAACGACGGCGACAACAACAGCAGCAGCGGCAGCGCTTATGTGCCGTGCGTTTTGTGTTTTCGCTGACGCCGTCGCTGCTTTTGCTGTCTCTTTCTGTTGCTGCATTTGTTTTTGCTTTGCCAACGCTGGCGCTGTTTTTGCATTTTGTTGTTGTTTTCTTTCAACTTTTTTTTTTTTGCATTTGATTTGCTTTTATTATTTATTTACTTTGCTTTACGAAGGCAATTTGGTCATTTCTTTGCGATGATGCGGCCCCAAAAACCGTATTCAAGCCCGACTTTGAGCAACTAGCCCATTGTAACTACGCTTCTAGACCAGGCAGTCAACTGAAACAAATTGTTTAGGCTTGGTTTTGATAAGTTTTGTAATTCCTGAGTGATTCGATGTCTGAGTTCGTAACAATCAATTAAAAAATGCAAAAAGAACTACAAAAAAGAAAATTTAAACAACAGCTGTTTTGATTGTTTCGCAGCCGTCTCGATCTGATTAAATTGGTCAGCTTTATTAGAGCACATTCTTGCTCTATTAGACAGCCTGACTCACGCTTGGGCTCTGACGAGAAATCGCATACACGTTCGCCTCACACTTTTAGCCTAGTTTCGGTTGTTTCTACCTTTGTTGTTGTTGTTGGGTCTCGTAAAACTTGTCAACGCTTTAAAATTAATAAACTCAACTTTTATGCAGAGCATAAAAAATACATACATATAAATTTATACACACATTCATGCAAGTAAAAAGCCAAAGCGAAAAACTAAAAATAGATGTGCGAAGGGTTCGGGCTCGAGTTCGAGCTCAAAGTTTTTTTTTTCTTTTTTTCATTTTTTCTGGGCTGGGACGAATGAAAATGCCCAAAAGTATTTAAAAATCTCGTAAGCCAAATGCCGGCTAATGGAGCTCAGCTACAGATACAGCTACATACACACACATACATACATACATCCCTACATTCTCTTACTCTTTCTCTCTTTGCCTTTGGGCTGCGTGGGCCTTGAGGAAGAGTTGAGAGCGTGGAAGGCACGCCGAAAATTTACATACATGATTGTCATAAAAAATCAGCAAGCAAATTGTCAAATCCCTAAACTGACAATAAAACAATAAAGAAGACGACGCTGAAGACGTCGGCGCACAGCGAAGAGGAAGAGCCAAAAAATGGGCAACTCAACAACAGCAAAATATAGGTTTGTATGTATGTATGTATATACATATATGTATATGAAAACAAGCTTTACAAATCTCTGCATGCGTTAGTGTGTGTGTATATATGCGCGCTTTGTATACAGTGGGTAGAGACTAAGAGCAACTGTCGAGGGTCAAAGGATGTTCGCGCGACATTTTATTATTTATTTAAGAAGGAAGCATCATTTAAATGAAGGTAATTTGCAAGGACTTCGAATCAAGCAATACACATACATATATACAAGAACATATGTACATATATCACAGAAAGTAGCATTGCATCAAATGTCGTTCTACGAATGCTAATTAAAATGTTCCATCACGAGTGCTTACTGTATGCGTATCAATAGAAACGCAGCCAAGGCCATGCAGCAGCAAGCAGCAGCATCAAAAAAGTTTGTAGAAAAGCAGACAGCAATTACAGGAGCAGCGCAGCGGCTGAGAGTAAAAGAGAGCCGAAAGCTGCGTGCGTAACATGTGTGTGAGTGTGTGTGAGGGGTGGGTGATCTTAGGGCCTCTCTCTCAGACAGCTGATGCGGCAAGCGCGCTGTTGCAGCCGGCTCAAGTGTGTGCAGTGGGATTAGGCTGTTTTATGGCGCATTTATGACACGCAACAGTTGCGAGCGCGCTGGCGCAGGCGCAGGTAGAGCCTCCTAACTCAACTCTAATTACAAGGTGCATGCATGTGCGTGTGTGTGTGTGTGTATGTCGGTGCAGAGGCCTTGCGTGTCATTGTCAATCACAGCGTAGCTAGTCCTTAATGCGTGTCCAGTGTCCAGCTCTCTTTCTTTCCCGCTCTCTGCGTGCTTGCGTGTGTGTGTGTGTGTATGGCAGTTAATGACTTTTTAATTGAGAGCGTACAGCTGTCATTGTCAGCGCCGTTACTTTTTAATTACGGGAGAGTGAGAGAGTAAGAATGACTGCGAGGGCGCCAGCGGGTGTGAGAACAAACAAACAAAATCTTAAGCCGACGTATCGCCCAGCTTCAGACTTCAGCTTGAGCTTCGTCTTCGGCTTTTGGTTGTCTCTCGGCTTCGACTTATGTAATGCGAGCGCCACTCCGCCGAGCCGTTAGCGCCGCCGCTGGCTTCGTCGTCGCCGTTGCCGTTGCCGTTGCTAACATCGCCGACGTCGGCGACGTTGCTAAGCATATTGCGCTGCTTGCCATGACTCACGCTAGCATTGGCTCAGGGCCAACGCCGTTGGCGAGCCCTCCTACTCCTCTCCTCTGGCTTTTGCTCTTTTGGCGCTCCGGCGTTGCGGCTGCGCCGTTTGTTGTGGTTTCGATGCGCGTCTGCGCGGTTTGTTGTTGTTTTCTTTACTTTACTTTATTATTTCTTTTCTTTTCTTACGTTTTTTTTTTTTTTTTTTTTTTTTTTTT